GGACCAACGAGAGTAAATTCAAGATGTTTGCCGGCGACTGAAATAGGAATGTGTGCGGTCCTGAGGAAAAACGTTTCGATCCAAGGAATTAACTGCCGTATGTAAAACTTGGCGGAGGCTCGCGTGTGGTAGTCCGTAAAAGAAGTTTTACAACTGCACAGGATTAGAGAAGTGGTGAATGCCGACGTATCAGATAGATTCTAGGAAGGAGTTTCGTATTCGCTCGTATGAAACTGTACGTGACTGAGTTCGCCTTCTAGCTATAGAGCGACCAAAAGCATCGCACCTTCACTGTGAAGGATTGGTTTCGCCAGCATGGCGCGCTTTCAACGAAGGGAACAATTCACACCAATGTCCCGAGCGCCATCGAAACATTATGGGAAAGAGTAGGGATACCTTTGGTGGAAATAAGAGCCGGGAATATGGGCGAGAAACTCGTCAAATTTCAAGAGAAGTGGAGGAAGCTGCCCTAGTAGACAGTGCATTCAATGACTGATTCCTTACTTAGGCCTTGTTAGTATTTCAGCGAACCCAGAAGATCATTAACAAAGTATTGGACCTGCCCAGTGTTATTCATCATGCGTAAGATTGTTTTAATTGAATTAGTAAGCTTTCTACGGTAATTGAATACTTAACTGAGTTTCTCATGACTCAAGATGAGTTACCCAGTGAATGATTGTTTTTGCCATTTCGGTTATTTCTTTGCTCCATCCGGAACAAAGGTGTGGCCGGTAGTCAGGTGTCATAGCAGGACTGTCTGCTCAAATCATATTAGAAGATTTTGCCAATGTGATTGGTTCCGCCGGAATTAAAAAGTGTCAGGTCGCCAAGTATTTCGTGGCGGAGATCTTTTGGCCCGCTATCGTAACTGAAGGCTAAGGAGACAGCAGGTCCTGATTGCTGTATCAAAAAGATAACTTACAGCATCCACTGGGACCGGAATATGATGAGGAGGAAATTTATGAGACAGTAATAAGACAGGGATCGCAAAGTTTCTGAAGGATGGTAGAAGACGTCATTTTCGATATGGCGATAACTGCACTGATAGCACCAGTCACGACAAGCTGTAATCGTTCTGCTTGAAAAGCCAGAGGCACTTACCAGGGATGGCTGTGTAGCGACCGCTGATAAGAAGCGCTGAAAAAGTCGTAACAAGCACGAATCACATCGGTGAGTCACTGGAATGCCATGACGTTGCTCATTAAACTGGAAAAGATTGTAATTTACTGACCGCGTATAACCGGTCGAGTGCGTCACTAGAGGAAACTTGCCTCTGTCTTGTTCAATTACACCTTTTGGAATACGCCACATATTTCACCTCCACGCGAAGATGTAGTGATGTCCGAGTGCGTAGGTGGACTATAAAATGAGGTTTAGGTAGAAATCGGTACTTATGTTCTGTTCGACGGGCTTGGCATCAAATGAAGGACGTCTCGGAAATCGAAGGCCTCAAAGACACCTCCAAGACGATTTCATTCGGTTCAATCCTTTTGGTGGAGAAGGTAGAGCTGTTCATGAAGGTCTCAGATGTCCCGTTTCCCTGTTTCAAAGTGCACAATAAGGGCGCTAGGTCATTGCAAAGACCGCTTCGACCGCTTCCATTTCTCTTACTTGCAACATGCAAATGTTCGTGCCCCTAGACGTTTAATCTGTCGCCTATACTCTCTTCCCCGCGCTCAAAGACTGGCCTTAAAGCAACACCAGATCTAATTCGTAGGGTGACTGCGGTCGATAATGGAGTAGTGGATGTCAAATTCAGTAGAAAAAGAAGCGAAGGAAACCGTCGATGGTGTCCAACAGGGATTCCCCTAAATAAAAAGGGGCGAAGCTAGACGAGTTGTATGAACTTGCCTGCTCCACGGCTCAACTAACCCGCGCGTATTTGAATTAGCCGCTACGCCGTAATCCACGTTGCGTCATGGGTGTGCGCGACGTAACTCGTCCAAATGCTAAGATTAGTCGCCAAATGCTGACTTTGTAAGACCCTAGCGCCATTGTCGCGCACTTTCGAGCCGCGACAACGGCACATCTGTGATACTCGTGGGCTACTCTATCCCACTTACTGAATAGATTCCTCGACACGACTTCTGCTGGGGTGTTGCTTTAACATAGCCCCGTGACTGCTGCTTCTACAAAGCAGAGAGATAGAGTTCAAATACTCTTAAGATGGGAACAAAACACCACAACTTGAATAACTTTTGCAAATGCTGTTTAACGTGGAACAATTTGTCAGCCGGCTGGAGGTTTTCTACGCACTTGCTCTTTTACGATAACTTTTCTATGTGACGAAGAAGAGATTGCCCCAGTATGCCTTGAAGATGCCATCCATTGCTTGAGCGCTTTTGATATGTTCCAGCAAATACTGTGCCCATCGGAGAAGGAATTAAATGTAAGGTGATTTTCCGATGAATAAAGGATTCGGCGTTGATGAGTGCCCTCTTGAGATGTGCCTCCCAGTTCATCTTCATCAGAATCGTAGCATTATTTTGAATGCGATGTGGCCTATACAATGACTTGCGGGGGCCAGCCGATGTACAAGTCAGTGTTTTTATCCTCCCAGACAACTCTGAAACCAATTCGCCGATAGCGGAGGAACAGGAAGGCTTGGTTGATGTGGAAGGTGTACGGCTATTTCTGATCCCTGGCTGCCCTTGCCACTACACCACTCTCACGTTATTGGGATGCGCCACGCATCCGGATTGCGTACAAAGCCGAAGTGGCTATTTCAACAAATTATGGCCTGTAAGTTTACCTGCGTAGGCTAGCAAAATACAAATCAGAGTGCTCATCATCTAGTGAATCTGATCAATTGAACGACACAGAAACAAGGAAAGGTTTTCCATTGCTCTGTCTCCGCCTCCGGATTT